AGTTCATCACATTACGCCATAGTAAAAAGACTTGCCATCTTTAAGCTAAGGTCTAGCTAAAAATTATAATGCAATACATGATCTTGAGATGATTTGATGACAATACTGTATGCCCCGAAAAACCGTTCAGCAATTGTTAAGAAGTGTTTTGAAAGATCAATCGAACATAGTCATCATTTGGCAAGACTTGTTTATTTCTCACAAAATGGACAGGTCTAATAACTTCGTACCGCTATGGGCAACAGAAATTTTTAATGTTATTAACCCTTTTAGTTATTAGTCACCGGTTAAACATTTCTCCTTTTCGTTTGTTCTACTCATAGGGGTTCTTATCGATTCGGCTGACTTCCACTTGATTTCGTTCCCCCAATGTTAGCTCTCCTACTTAATCGCACATCTTAATTACTCGACACCCCGTTGTTGATAAAAAACCGCTGAACATCTTTAAAATGACGGACAAAGTTTCAAGCAAGCACAGTTACAAAATTTTTTAATAATTGGAATAGGCAATGAACCAGTTTTAAGAACTATGAAGATCGAGCCCAGCAAGCGATTGATAAATGTGACAGGTCTACTAAACTCAAAATTTGTCGAAAAGTTAATGCAATAGTTAAGTCAGCAATAATTCGTAACGAGTAGCTGCTAACTTTAGCAAGAACAACTGAACACAAGCAGTTATTAATACTAGATCTTGAATAATGGTCACATATTTTATTATCATCAATTGATTGATAAACCTAAATCGTCATGTGATAGCGCAAATCTACCGCCATCACAGGCTTTAGCATCAAACACAGGCTTTAGCAGCATCGCATCGGTCTCGTAATCGAGTAGATTTAGGTCGATGAAATCTAGGTCGGCTTCAAATTCTCCGAATCAACGCCGCCGTGATCATACATTTGCACTTTTCTGTTTTGAAGTCCAGAAGCAAAGCAATGACTCACTTCGACTTGAGAAACAGAAATTGAAACCTAGTCGAAAACCTAGTCGAAGCCAAGATCGTTAAATGTCAACTTCGAGAAGACCTTTCAGATCGAGAAAAGGCTTTCAAATCGGCTCATTCCACCTCAATTCAGACTGTTGAACGAACAAAATCTTGGGTTAGAGAAGAAGTACAAGATACAACCGTCACTCCAGCAAAAGAGTGCACTCTTAGCGTGCCCATCACCAATGTTGAAATGATAATCCCCATTTGTAAACTAGTCCCAGTCATGAAATTATAATTTAAATGGCCTGTTTGACTCGAGTGCGGGAGGTCCTTCAATCATAACGGGCCCATACAGTAACAGGTTCCCTAATATGAGTATCTTTCTATCTAGTACATAATATCCATCAGCATTCACCTTTCCGGATTTCTGTAGTTAGCAGACCTATGTATCAGAACATACTGGACTAGCACTCATACATGTGCTTCAATCCGGATCCAACGTTGGTTTTAGAGCTCCGGTGGCTGCGACATTCAAAACAAGAATAATACGCTTCCGCACGCACTCGCAGTTAGTACTGACGCTAGCTTTTTTAACTCTCTTGCACGGCATTCTGTGGACGCAGTCAAACTCGAGTGGAGGCACCGAATATCATACACCTTCGTCATATTTCCTTCACAAACTCTTCTAACTCGAGTGGAGGCACCGATTATCATACACCTTCGTCATATTTCCTTCACAAACTCTTCTAACTCGAGTGGAGGCACCGAATATCATACACCTTCGTCATATTTCCTTCACAAACTCTTCTAACTCGAGTGGAGGCACCGAATATCATACACCTTCGTCATATTTCCTTCACAAACTCTTCTAACTCGAGTGGAGGCACCGAATATCATACACCTTCGTCATATTTCCTTCACAAACTCTTCTAACTCGAGTGGAGGCACCGAATATCATACACCTTCGTCATATTTCCTTCACAAACTCTTCTAACTCGAGTGGAGGCACCGAATATCATACACCTTCGTCATATTTCCTTCACAAACTCTTCTAACTCGAGTGGAGGCACCGAATATCATACACCTTCGTCATATTTCCTTCACAAACTCTTCTAACTCGAGTGGAGGCACCGAATATCATACACCTTCGTCATATTTCCTTCACAAACTCTTCTAACTCGAGTGGAGGCACCGAATATCATACACCTTCGTCATATTTCCTTCACAAACTCTTCTAACTCGAGTGGAGGCACCGAATATCATACACCTTCGTCATATTTCCTTCACAAACTCTTCTAACTCGAGTGGAGGCACCGAATATCATACACCTTCGTCATATTTCCTTCACAAACTCTTCTAACTCGAGTGGAGGCACCGAATATCATACACCTTCGTCATATTTCCTTCACAAACTCTTCTAACTCGAGTGGAGGCACCGAATATCATACACCTTCGTCATATTTCCTTCACAAACTCTTCTAACTCGAGTGGAGGCACCGAATATCATACACCTTTGTCATATTTCCTTCACAAACTCTTCTAACTCGAGTGGAGGCACCGAATATCATACACCTTCGTCATATTTCCTTCACAAACTCTTCTAACTCGAGTGGAGGCACCGAATATCATACACCTTCGTCATATTTCCTTCACAAACTCTTCTAACTCGAGTGGAGGCACCGAATATCATACACCTTTGTCATATTTCCTTCACAAACTCTTCTAACTCGAGTGGAGGCACCGAATATCATACACCTTCGTCATATTTCCTTCACAAACTCTTCTAACTCGAGTGGAGGCACCGAATATCATACACCTTCGTCATATTTCCTTCACAAACTCTTCTAACTCGAGTGGAGGCACCGAATATCATACACCTTCGTCATATTTCCTTCACAAACTCTTCTAACTCGAGTGGAGGCACCGAATATCATACACCTTCGTCATATTTCCTTCACAAACTCTTCTAACTCGAGTGGAGGCACCGAATATCATACACCTTCGTCATATTTCCTTCACAAACTCTTCTAACTCGAGTGGAGGCACCGAATATCATACACCTTCGTCATATTTCCTTCACAAACACTAACGCTCCTGTTACATGGACCCCTTCCACACAATCATGCGGTGTCCCGACAAATCAACCGGCAAACGACCAAATCCACCCGATATTCTTTGCTAAAGAAACACGAAATCCGAATTTGCTCCAATTTCAAATGTAAAACACTCACTCAAAGTCAAGTTTGGCGCTGAGCATAGGTTAAGTTTCTCGTGTTTTCAGTCAGATCACATGTTCCGCAATTTTCCTAAGGCAACAAATTGTCCAAAAGATGTATGTAGAAGTACCCACAAATCATTGCTGCATGGGGCAGATCGCATTTATTCTTCAAAGCTGTCAAATAAGTCACACTTTCAGAAAAATTTTCTGAGAGAACACCTTGAAAACCTCCTAATGATACGTCAGATTTTCACCGGAGGCACAATTCTTTTTCTAAGAAAACAAAAGTTTCACCTTTTTTAGCGAGTAAGAAAAACGATTAGCCTCTTGGACCGGCAACATGCTGGTCCTAACCAGTCGCATGAAATTGGGAGCGTTTACGCATGGTAGCAAACATTTGCAAACAAATTTATGTCTTTTTCTGAAGTAAAGTTGAAAAAAAAATCCCAGAAACAAGCCAAACTTGGCTTTAATAAAATGAAGCTGCTGAAACAAAAAACCTGGAATCAACACTTCAACAGGAAACTTTTATGCAAAACAACCTACTCGAAGCTTTAAGAAAAAATCATCCAAGCGACACCTGAGAAATGGACCCACTAAGCGTAACTAAATTCGCTAGCTTTTGTCGATTTTTAATTTAATTAGCTGATTTTGCTCTTTTTTCTGCCCCAAATAAAAAAGACAAATATTAATTTTTGCTTCTCTTTTCCATCTCATCGTTGATTTTTTTCACCAAGCCTAGTGCCAGTCCATTTTCCATTACCATTCACTATCAACGCTGTCAAAAACGAAACCGAACAATGCAATACTGTAGAAATAGATATTGTGGAAGTATGCAATTTACCACAAACAACCGTAGCTATTTAAGAAAAAAAAGTTCCTTAATAATAATCAAAGAAGACCCAATTCTCTATCTGCAATCAGAAATCATTCACTGCAAATTTTTCTGATCGATTTGGATTGCCCCCACTAAATAGCTGTTTGAACTATTGTTATACACCAAGTATTCCCTTTTAGCTGCAGAAAACAATTCTCAATTCAACCTCTAAGAACGATTTGGCTTGGGGAACACGCAGAAAAGGATCGCTCTGATCAAGAACAAACACGCACCAGAAAGTTGAACTTATCATCCAGATATTAAAAACTACAAAGGCTTTCAGCAATGTATTTTTCAACTTTCTAATTTTAAATTTAGAATTTACCTTCGGCTTCAAATTTTTAAATTTGCGATTTCAAATTTTAAATTTACTTTCGGCTTCAAGTTTCTAAGTTTGGTATTCAACTTGAAATACCTTCGGCCTATGTCCGATAACCCGTCTATTTTATCTGTGCCCATGGTGGCCTCAAAAATGTTTTAACTTGACTTACAAAATAAAAAACGTTTTAAGTGTTTGAAACTGTTTTAAAACATGTGTAAAATCAAAGATTGTAAACGTTTGACGATTCGTCCAATACTCTTATATGAAGGTAACTTTTGACATTTTTTTGTCCCTATCAGTGTTTGTCCCTCGTCAAAGAAAAAACTCGCAACAAAAGCCTTAATTTGAAAGGAAGGCCAGTCAAATCAATTTTCATAACACTGTTGTTTTCAATTTTCTTAGCAAGTTTTCAATCTAGTAAAACTGATTAAATACATCAATAAAAAACATTGAAAAAACAAGTGTTTTAAAAAACTGTTTTAAAGTACCCTTATTTCAAAACATTGCCACCCTGTCTGTGCCTCTTGAGAGTTGAGGTATAGCCGTTATCTGGATTGCAGTTAGAACATGCTGATACATGCGACCCAAGAATTATATATCTCAATTGGAATTCTGTTAACAAAAAAAATGACACTTAAATTAATTCATTGTCATAACAGATTCACAACACACCAAATACACTGAAAGTTTTATTTTGAAACAATAGTTTGAACAGATTTCTGTGAAATTTATTGGGGAAATTGATCAACTCTTCGCACATTCTTCTTTTATTCTTTTTTATCAGATGCTGATTGCTTCGTTGGATTTCTACAGGAAGATTATCTGGCATATGACCATTATGCAGATCAATCACTCCTTTTGTTTTACATTGAGGCTCTTTTCCTCTTTGAAAACAAACACTGCTCTCCAGAACAATATGAGTAGTCCCCAATCCTCGGAGTATTCCATGAATCTCGTCTGCAGGAAGCTTTGAGTATATCTGATATGCACTTGCAGTTCTTTCTCTCAGCCATTTGTTCTCATAATGAGGATGATTAGTAATTGCCCGGCCGCTTCCCAACTTAATCATAGCGCATACCTGCATCGTCGCAGTGAAAACCGAATTCTTTGGAGTTTCACGGTTCAGTGCATTAATCAATTCAACTGTATCTGGATCATGAAACTCCGTGAACGTGTTAATTCTGTTCCAAGTCGGCTGGTAGTTATACCCAAATAAGTAGGCGCAGAAACATATGCTAAGTGCGACTCGCAGTAAGTTAAGTAGTCCTCTGCTGTCTCCTAAAACAGCATTATAGCTTAGCTACTCAATTTTCTCTAACTGGCTGATGTGAATTTTAACCGCTTTCGCGCAGTTTTCAGCGCCAGTTCTACTGTTATTGAAGAACGTAGTTGGTCTTCAATTGAACCTATTAATTCAAAGTGAACTAATAAGACACGAAAACCGAACCACAAAAATCAGAAATTGAGCGCCATTTTAAGACGTCAGCATCGAAACAAAAAAAAGAACACGACTGAAAGCTGTAAGATCTTTTTTTTGCAAGTTATATATGACACAGAGGCGAAGCTTCGCTTCACAAACATTAGCGAGAACAAGACAAAAAGCAGCTTTATAAAATACAATGAATTCGAAATAGCAAAAATTCCGCTAAGTCTGAGATTCGAACCTCCGACCTTGAGATTAAGAGTCACGCTCCTTATCCACTCATCCACGGACGCTGCTTAGTAGACAGAAGATTAAACACTAGCCACAAATAAAGCAGAGAACAGATGCTTTGCAATTTACAATGCTTGAGTTAAATTTCACATAAGTGAACACTTTTAATAAACACTTTTATTTGCGAGTTAGGCTACAAAAAAATAAGGTTCGTAATAAAGCACTAAGCTGACGCTAGTGTAATATTTGCTTAATCTAATCGTCTGTTTATCAGCGGCGATTGAGCTCATCGAATGTTGTTGTCACTCTGTATTTAGAATTTGTTTTTTTTAGATCTCTGCTCACCTGTTTTGCGCTGACCGTATGAGATGAGCTCTTTGTCGTTCAGAAAGATTGATGTAAGAGCGCACATAGACGCAACCCACAAAAACTTGAAACGTGCAGTGGTTAATGCCAGTAAAGCAAGAATCAAATTGTTCGAAAAAAGATGAATCAACTCGGGTCTCCGTTTCGAGTTGAAATTGTGCCATTCTTCGAGTTCCAAGTTTCTCCATGATCTGAAATGTTATTATTTTTTAGAAACTCGCACCACTTGCAATACGACAAGTATAAAATAAAAACTGCATGACGCTTAATAAGAAGCAAACAAGACTTCGAGCGGAGAAAACAATGAATACAGTGGCAACGCTGAGCTTCGCACTACTTGCGATACATCAAGCCACCAAATCGTGAAAAAATTGATAATGTCAAACGTAACAGTCGCCTACTTAAGTCACATATGAGGTTAAAGAAAAATAGGCCCTATAACCATTGGCTCAAGAGTCAGGGACTCTATCTCTTGTGTTTTTCTACCTCGAACGGTCGGAGCCAATTCGGTTCATGTGCCAGTCGGTCATATTCGGAAGTTTGACCTTGAGAGAAGCAAAAAAAACACTTGATTTTGGAGTGAAATTTAATTTTTCAAAATTTCGAATGGAACCTGTCATGCACGATTTTCTCGCGATAACTGAAAATCAGAAAAGGGAAGTCAGAACAATCGAGTAACAATCGCGGGAAAGTTGCTAAATAAAACGGTGGGAAATTGCTATTCGCAATTTCTGTCACAATAGAACAAGAGTAGAGCTGTCCCATCTGAAACAGAGACAAGCGTATTCCCGAGAACTGGATTGTCATTACTCGATTGGATTATTATTTGAACTGGACTAGAGTGAACCTTTGGTGGAAAGGTGGACAGCTTGAGTGTCCCAATGGTTCACGAGAAACTATATCCTAGAGTTAAAACTTGTCCTTGTCATTGAAACTGATAAACATTAAAACTCATTTAGTTACATTATTTAATTCTCGAGTTGATTACCGACTGAAGTACTTCCCTTTCTTGAGCGTGCTACGATGTGAGTACTTAATTTAAATTTCTAGAGTGTGTTTTATAATTGTTATGTTGAGGTAAGGCGAGTTTTAGGTTGATCCATCTGAAGTGGATCAAAGTTCCACTGTCTAATAAAAAGTAACTTAACGGATTGTTCCAACCCGGTTTTTAACGGCGTTCATGTATTTTGGGTATCTAGAGACCTAAGTATGGGGACGTTTCTAATTCTAGAGTGGGGGGGATATTTTAGTAGTAGCCTTTAAGCTGTAACGGGTCGTAGTCTCATGTCACAAACGAACCGAACTGGCTCCGACCGTTCTTGAGGTAGAAAAACACAAGAGATGGTGTCCCTGACCCTTGAGCCAGTGGTTATAGGGCCTATTTTTCTTAAGCCTCATGTGTGACTGCAGTAGACGAATGTTACATCACTTGCGACATGAGACTAAAACCCTCGTTACAGCTTAAAGGCCACTACCAAAACACCCCCCACTCTAGAAAATAAGAACGTCCCCATACTTAGGTCTCAAGATACCCAAAATACGCGAACACCGTTAAAAACAGGGTCGGAACAGTCCGTATGGTTACTTTTTATTAGACAGTGGAACTTTGATCCATTTCAGATGGATCAACCTAAAACTCTCCTTACCTCAACATAACAATCATAAACCACACTCAAGAAAACTAAATTGAGTACTCACATATCGGCACACTCGAGAATTGGAGTAACTAAATTAACTAGCGACTCCAGCATCAATATAATTGAATATAACTTGAGAAGTTTGCTATTAATTGAGAAAAGAATGGTAAATTACCTTGTCCGAACAGTAACAAGAAAAACAGAAAGAGGATGACGTACAAAACGGGTGGAAACAGGAAACCGCGTCGGGAAAGATTAATTAAACAGGTTGTCATTAAAATTAAAATCAGTGCATATAAAATATTTAGGTTTCCTGGTGCCACGGATACACAACAAGATGCTTTTCATTAAAGAAAAATTTATGCGAATGCGTAGCCACTTTATGGCTTCAGATTGGGTAGCATTTCCTTTGATGGCAATTAAAAAGGCTAGTTGGGATAGCATCTTGTAGGTAAGAGGGGAGGCGCCGCCCAGACTGCTGAAAACTAATGGTGTAAATGAGCCGTTTTCGATGTTCAAAATACGTTGCTGGTACATATTGATCTTTTCGCGTTCATGTCTACGATAAATCTGCGCGAGTTTGCAAGCATTGCTAAGGGCTAGAGGATTAAAAACTCTAACATCAAAAAATGCCCGTTGGCCATGCTGCCAAAAACTCGAAGCAGAAACATCCAGTCTGGCGCCGTCGTTCAAGTTCCCTCTGACGTTATCGTTGTCATTTCCAATCCAAGGAAATGAGTTTTCACTTGAGAATATAGTTTTTGATCTGAACCATTGGGAGACTTCGGTTGTCTACCTTTCCACCGAAGGTTCACTCTGGTCCAACTGAATTTTGATGTTCTTTTACTTTCGATTATTTTCTGTCTCCAGTCACGATTAAGACAGCTCTACTCTCGTTCGATTAGGTGTCGGAAATTGCGAACAGCAATTTCCGCTGCTAAATCTGACCACTTTCCCGCGTTTGTAATTCGGTCGTTCTGATCTTTATTTCCTAATCTTTTCAGTTGTCACTCTTGACTAGGGAAAGGAAGGGGGATTTGACTGTGAACTCGGATGAAATCTGAGTGCACGGAACTTTTTCACCATATGGACTATTGTTATCGAATATACTATATCTATTTTTATATCAAAACCTGCATGTCAATTTTCTGACTGGGGTTGAACAAAAGAAACTTAAAAAAAAGTTTGTGTTGAACTTTTTCTGAACGAAATCCTTTAAAAAAATTGAAATTAAGAAAGCAAAAATTAAAACTGGAGCGCAATTTTTGAAAAATTCGAATAAATGCTGGAATCGAAAAATTGATTTCAAAAACGGAAAATTAAAGAACTTGTAATCCTAAAAAAAATTGTAATACCGCAAATTACTTACAAAAACCATTACGAAAAAAAAATAAGTTACTGCTTGCATCAAAAACATAAACTAAAGTAACCATTTTGCTCCTAAGACATTACTGAAGTCATTACACCTCCGATTATTCAGGTACTATTCCTCCGACTAACATTCCACCTTCCATAAAACCTCGATACGATTGAATCTCCTAATTAACCTAATCTTTGAAAGAAACAGAATTAAATCTTTTAAATATTTTCAGCGCTCAACAACTTTAATCAAAACACTTGTCAATCAATTGATTATTTACTATATCAGTCCCAGTCATTTCTTAAACTAAAATCAGTGTATTACGGACAAAAGGTGAGCCGTAAATTAACCTTTGAAGAGTTTGACTAACTTAACAAAACAGCACTTGAAATTTATTCGTTCCCTTACAACCAAAAGGAAGACTCTCGAAAAATCATTAAGGTGATCAATAGTGGATCCCATGCAAACAAAGGCAAAATCAAGTTCGATTCTATATTTTCAGAGCGAAATCAAAAGAATCGAGTGAGACAAAAAATTTGATTTTGGAATCGAGAATAACAACTCACATAAGAATTAAAACCCTGCCTAATTATACCATTGTTCACTAGTACAGGGGCAGTACTACACAAGAAAAAACTTATTTGCTAAAAGGATTTACTGAGCAGAAAATTGGGGAGTATTGTAATACAGGATCAAACAAACTCTGGATCTAATAATGATCAAATTCAACCCAGGAATGGTTGTCATATGAGAAATACCGCCAATTTTGAACAACAGTGATGAAAATTTAACAGTTGACGCTTGTAATAGCTCTCTTAACAAAAGTTACGTAAACATTGAAAAACTTCAATTGCTAAAACTAAGCTCTATGAAGAACGCCATCAAAGATTGAAGCTTTTTAATTCGGGATATGTGTCAGTCGGTCATATTTGGAAGTTTGACCTTGATTTGGAAGTTTAATCTCGATTTTGGGAAGAAAGTTAATTTTTGAAAAACTTGAATTGACCATGTTAAGCTCAAGTTTCTCGCGACAAATGAGAATCAGAAGTTAATTATATCAGAAGAGAAAGATGAGAAATGAAGGAAAATTGATATAAATCAGGCTAGAGTAAAATTGCTGTTCGCATTTTTACTGCAATCAACAACTCGAGTAGAGCTGTCTTGTTCCTGATAGAGAGCAACGCGAAATCTTACGAGAGTATCATCGTTGGTCGAGAGAAAATCTTGATTGGGCAGGCAGACGAAGGAAGCTGCCCAATAGTTCAGAAAACTAAAATTACTGATTGAAAATGACTTGTTACAAAAACTTTTTAGAGTTGCTTTGCTTATATTATTTACCTAATTCTAGAGTCGCATCACTATGCGAGTACTTAATTTGATTTCTCGAGTGCTTTTTATGTGATTAATTTAAGATAAGGCAAGTTGTAGGTTGATCTATCTAAAATTGATCAAAGGTCCACTGTCCAATAAAAACTAACGGTATACTGGAGCTCCCGACCCTGTTTTTAATGGCTTTCATGTGTTTTAAGTATTTAGAGACCTAGCTATGGTGACGTGCTTATTTCTAGAGTGGGGGTATTTCGGTTGTGGCCTTTAATCTGTAGCACCACTTTGTTGTCCCATGCCCTACGGGAACCGAATTGGCTCCGACTGAATGAGGTATAAAAGCACGAGAGATAGCGTCCCTGACCCTTGAGTCAATGATTATAGGGCCTATTTTTCTTAATCTCATATGTGACTCAAGTAGACGACCTGTTACAAAAATATACTTTTTAATGATGAGCACGCTGTGCCGTTTCCTCATAATCGCCTCCGCTTTTTTAGTTTGTGGGTAATCAAATAAACTTCCAAGAGTTATATCGATCACTGGTTTTACTAATAATGCTTCATCAAACTCCATTAACCATTTGCGTAAGCACCCTATAAGCGACTAAATATCACCAGTATTTCTAATGATAAACCAAAGGGTTATAATCAACATCAACGACAACCAAATATCAATACGCAGAAATTTCAATGGCAAGTTTCATTCACATACATACTATTTAAGAAAATGTTCTTCAAAAAGTTTGGCGTTTTTGCCCTTAAACGCAAGGCTTCTGTTTCGTATCTTAACAAGGATCTTTCTGGTTGCACTACGTGATCTTGATCAAATTGTAGTTCATAGCTATCAAATTAAACGAAGCTATAGAAA